TATACTCTGATGTTGTAATAAAAGTGATGTAAGAAATGGTTAAGCATGATGTAAGCTTTATTCTCTCATTTATGGTCCTAATGGAAAAATATGGATTTTTGGGTTCTCCCTTAGGGTGTGCCCGACAGAACTGTGTAATTTAGTGTTCTCCCTAAGTGCTTAGTGTCTAATGGAAGACAAACACTCCTGGAAGACATTAGATTAGATGGTTCTGCCATATTGAGCCGCTTTGGCTATACGGATAGCAAGCCATCTCCAACACCCTATGATCCTAGTCTAATACTTTGAGAGAATCAAAGGCTAGGAAAGGATCATCTGAGATACTTCTAGATTATTGGCTCTCTAATGCACCTAGCTAGCGCAACCCGCCCTGACATCTCATTTGCGGTAAGCAAGTTGAGTAGGTTCACCTCTAATCCAGGAAATGATCATTGGTGTGGTATTGATCGGTTAATGCGCTATTTGAAGAGTACAATGAGTTATGGAATTCACTATTTAGGGTACCTAGGGGTACTTGAAGGATATAGTGATTCAAATTGGATTACAGATGCTGATGAGCTAAAGGCCACTAGTGGATATATATTCACATTAGGTGGCGGTGCTGTCTCTTGGAGATCTTGTAAGCAGACAATACTTACAAAATCTACCATGGAGGCAGAGCTCACGGCTCTGGATACAGCCTCTTCTGAAGCTGAGTGGTTAAGAGAACTATTGATGGACTTACCTATGGTTGAGAAACCAATTCCTGCTATTCTCATAAACTGTGATAATCAAACGGTTATCACGAAGGTGAAGAATAGTCAGGACAATATGAAGTCCACTAAACATGTGAAGCGCGGGCTGAAGTCTGTCAAGAAATTGAGGAGCTCCGGAGTAATAGCTATGGACTACATCCAAATAGCTAAGAACCTGGCAGATCCCTTTACTAAGGGACTATCACGTACTGTGATTGACAATGCATCGAAGGAGATGGGATTGAGACCCATGTGAGTTAACCTAAGTATTAACCCAACATATGTCATCGGAGATCCCGTGAATTAGGACATGGGAAGAACAAGCTGTTGGTTAACGGGAGAGTACAATCTACCTTTAACCCACTTCGTTGGAGATCCAGTACTCTCATTTCTGTAAGGAAGGCTGACTTTGTCTTAATGTGTGTTCTGAGGCTTTATAGCAAGATACTGTCCTATGGAGTATTCTTGTAAGAACACACCTATGTGAGCCCAACTGTTAGTCGCAGTTTGTAAGAATTGGGTATTCTTTAAGAAGCTCATGAAGTGAGACACGAGTATGACTTATACGCTCTGCCCGCGGGGTAGACATGGCAGCCTAGTATCAGTCAAGACACCAAGTGAAGCTTGTTCACATCAAACTGCCAATTTAAGGCCTAATCCATTGTGCAGTTGTGGATGAGTCTATCTTGTCGCTCTAGGTGGATGTTCAACCCTAACCGGTCTCCACTGAATAGCTGGTATATTAACAGTACTCTGGTACAGGGAGGATGAAGCGTGCCTTTGGGATCGGTGGGGGATTGTTAGAAGATTTGGGCTGGCCAAAATAATAATTCCAAATAAATTCCAAAGGTCCACTCACACATGCATGGTATGGTGGGCACTTTAGTCCCACATTGCTACTCTAGGAGGAGTGAGGCCAACTTAAAGAGTTGAGTTGTCTCCATCTAATTGAAGCTATTGGGGAGAGGAAAAGGAAGAAATCCACGCGCACGGGCCGGGCGGGGCGGGGCGATGGGCGTGGGCGCGCGACATGCCCGTGAATGGTCCGGCGATTTCTCGCCTTGACCTTACGAGTGCACGGCTTCCTTTTGCTACTCTATATTTTCGCATGCATGGAAAAAATTGCGCTAGCCTATTTTGACAGGCAATTATTCTCGCATTAATGATGATTGCTCTAGTCGATGGCAGGTCAATCACGTTAATGTTGTGATTGCGTGGCTAATTACTTACCTTTCCTGCGACTCAATGCGTGTATATATTGGGACGAGTATTCATCTTCTCCTTTTGCTATTGTGTTGTGCTGCCGCCATCTTCCCCATCCCGCCGCCGACATGTCATCGGTGCCGGAAGAGCAGGTCTCCGAAGCCTACGTCTTCTTGTGTCCCTGCACGGGGTAGGGGGCGTATCATGTTTTTGGGAAGCGCCGTCGTGATTGCTCACTGAACGCCTTCTTCCCTCTACGCCAGTGTTCGCCAATCTCCATCGACAATCTGCTTCGTCTTCTTTTACGCTATTGCTAGCGTCGACAACCCCATTGTAAGAATATTTATTCTCTCTCTCTCTCTCTGTTCGTTCGTATGTTCCTACTGTTACTGGCACTAGAGAGTTCGACTTTGTCTCAGATGGTAGTGCTAGTGATAAATCATTCACCTTTGTTATATATTGTTGTTCTTTTCCTCATTATCGGAATTAATTTATGCATCACTAAATTGCTATTATTACCAACAGTGACTAGCAGCGCGTACGAATCTTAGCTTTGATTCCGGCCTTCCGGGGATAAGGCTCATCGATCAGGTTAGATCAGATGAGGCGGAGAAAGGCTCATCGATCAGGTTAGATCAGATGAGGCGGCTCTCCGCTGGTAGTGGTAGGTCAAGGTCATGTCATCCGGTAGCCGGCCGAGCAAATTTCCCAAAAAAATTTGAAACGCATGGCGGCCGCGTCCGCCGTCCGGGCCGCGGATTTTTGATGAAAACCTAGTAGGTGTAATCGGGGCAGATGCCAATGCCATACACGCGGTCCGTACGCGGCCAGTGCGGATAACTCCGCTGGCTCCGTCGGCGACGCTTTTTATCTTCCCCGTCATCCATGATCCTCGTGCCAGCCCTGTCCCACCCTTTCCCATGGATTCCTGCTACTGCTTGGTCAAGTCGTCGCGATTCGCCAATAGCAGCAGAGAGAGAGATGCGTATGAGGATCAACCGCCGCCACTGCCCGCTGTTGCTGGCTTGCTGCGCTGCCGGACCGGAGCAACAACACGCTTTGAGCGAGCGCACCGGAGTCGACGTTGCATGACCACGCTGTAAAGCGGCCCCGTCGTCTTTTGCCGCCCAAAAAAGCTTCAGATTTCAACCCCGCCGGCCGGTAATCTAGGACCCACAATAATGCCTGCCTGCGTGCTCGACTAGCTAGTGGCGTAGTGGACGTCTCCTTCACGATTGCCTTCAAGAAAGATAAATAATTTGGATACTTCGCATGGACGAGTTGATGTTGTTGTGCCACTGATCAGTGTACTACTAATAGTCAGAATCTCCTTCTTCTTCAGTGAAGATCTTCAGATATTTGAGTTTTTTTTTTCCTTAAGCAAGTTACTCTACTTGACAACCATGGTACTCCATAGGTCTGGAATCTCCATACCTGAAATCCTGAATGCAGTTCGAGGCTGGTCCAGTTCCTGAAGCAAGTCACTTGACAACAGTGGAGGTGCCTAGAGCCGCCACTTAGCGACAAAACCGTTTTTTCTTCAACATACTATTAGCACCCGATGCTTGAAAAGTGGATAAGATGCTTAAGTTAGCACCAATGCTTAATGTTGCTAATGAGGTGGTTGAGCCTATCTAAGAGCATCACCAACAGATTACTAGCTCATCTCATTCTCAATACTAAAAACCAGAGGGATTAAGGTTGCTCTAGCGATTATTTATCTTATCCCCAATACCTAATATTTTTAAGTAACTACTTAAATCCCATCCCTCTCTCCATGAAATGCAGAAGATCCACATCCTCTCCCCTATCTACTTTAAAGGTATTAATAGCATGTTGGAGGAGGAGAAAAAACACTACACTACCAAAATAATAGCAGATCACTTATACAGACTTTTAGAAGATGGAGCCTAGGTAATCTGTTAGAGTTGCTCTAAGCACCTATTTACATTGTATGAAATTCTATACCAATACTTAGGTCCTATTTGGATCCCATGTTCTAAAGTTTAGGTTTTTTTCTAAAGTTTAGTTGGCTACTAAACTTTAGGCCATTTTAGTCCACTTGGTCTAATGAACTAATAATTTTTGTAAGGTTGACTAATCTTTAGAGTTTAGACATCACTTTAGGCTACCCATTTAAAGCTAAAGTTTAATGACTATATTTTAAATCATGGGATCAAATAGGACCTTAATGATATGACACTATTCTCTCTCCTTATGCATCTTTGTCTAAGCACCTTAGACTGAACTTACCTTTGTCATCTTAACAGGAAGTCAGTACGGCACCTATAATTCTCTACGGCTATATATATTGGGTTTCGTACATGAATTATCATATACATATGCAATCGCAGTTCCTGGCTCCCAAACATGTACTTAAAAAATATGTTTATCCGGAGGCTGGAGGCCAGTCCATGCATTGCTGCCCGGCAACAGTCACTTGCTCGCAACTATGGCCGAATAGATACACAGAACTGAAGCTAGTGATCAAGTGATGGACCTTGGATATTTCACAAAGGGTAGAGAGGAATCTTTTGATTGAGGAGTGAGGATACGATAGGCCTCCGGGATAACCTGTTGCAACATAATGTCGAAAAGTATATCCATTCCAGATTAAAGTGATCTTTTCTGATCTGGAAAAAGGAACAGAGAACCTTGACGATGAGGTGTTATGCACGCCTGGATCTTATCAGGACACGGAACAACCACAGTCCGTCATGGTGGACACACCTTCAGTCAGAAAACGTCGAGGAGACTTTCTGTCTGTCTTATCACTGGCCCCTTCTGATTATGGTCTCACTTGTCAGTGAACGCGTGCGAAACCCAGATACTTGGATGACAAAAAGATGCGCACATATCCCGCATGTTCTTGGAAAGCATATGGATGATGATCCACCCATTGATGCTTTGCTGACATGTATGCTATCCACTGGCATCTGAAAGCAGAGATGTGACCTCTACGAAATGGCTCATGCACACACCAATCTGTCTGTATATATAGGTTCCTCCAGCATTGCCAAGGAACCACAAGGTCCACAACCAAGCAAGCAAAGCCAGCAATAGATGGAGCCAAAGGCCAAGGCAAGCGCTAGAGCTGCCAAGGGGAAGGTGGACATGGTGTACTCTAAGTACGTGAAAACCCAGAACAGCCCTGCTGTGAGTATAACAAAGCCTTACCAGCAGCTTGAGTCTACACCTGTAGGAGTAGGAGGTGACGACGACATCGACGAGAGAGCGTCGGCTTTCATATTGGCAGTCCGGGAGCGCTTCAACAATGAGAACAAGTAGCATGATGATCAGATGAGTAGAAGCTCCAGAAGAGTTTAATATTTACAACAATGTCTTCTGGGTTGCCATGGATGTGTAGGTAAGAAGTAGGGCAGTAGCTCTTGCTATATACACTTTTCATGTCTCCTCTTCCTTTTTTCTTTTGGACCTATGGTTGTAACTGAAGAATGGAAGAAGTGAATATAAAGAGTTTTATGTTTAGACTTTGTGCACTGCTTTTTTGACATATGGCCATATGGATACCTTCTTGAGACCTGAACCCAAAATTTAGGGTGGTTTGCTATCACATATGGAATTGATCTGTCGCTTGTGCCGACCTTTACTTCAACATGTCTTTTTGCAGTAGAAAATCTTCAGTAGTCCAAGATTTTGGACAGAAGAAAGGAAGAGATTTAAATTATCCACTGAGTAGCATACCTGTCTGAATGTTGATCTTGTTTGTCCCCCATAACTCCGGTTACAGAAGTGGTCCAGAACACTTAATATAATCACTGTTATTCAGCTTGATCTCTGCATGTGCAGCATGCGAAAAAAAGCAGGTCCATGTGATTACAATAATCAGGGACCTCCAGTTTGTTAGATAATCTACTGCTACCTTATGTGAACACAGTAAGGGAAGACGGCGCCGAAAGACCCCCTGCTGTGATACTGTAGCCTGTAGGCACATGCAGAGGCCGGCGCAGAGTCAGTCATGTATGTTATCTAGTCACTGTTACAGCAGGGCAGCTGTACTGGGACTAGATGGATAGAATTGTATAAATAGACTACCATGGCAACTCAGTAAAGAGAGTTCAGATTTGACATCTCCCAGACAGGGCTTCGGCCAACGCTGGTGTCTTATACTGTGTGTGCATGTTCTGTTCTCCCTTCTTCTTCTAGCTCTAGCCATAGTGTGTGGGGACGGACATCGCTTGTTCGTGGTCGGCAAGGCTAGTGGGTGCACGACAACACTAGCGGATGCTCGGCAAGACTGGTGAATGGTTCACTCACCTGAGCCAGTGATCCTGTGGGCCAACAAGTGGTATCAAAGCCATACAAGCGTCGTCGCCAAACTAATCGCTGGCGATGACGGGTGGTTCAGAGATGGGCGATAGCAGTGGCACTGCTGTGGCTGCCCAGCCATGACAGGAGGTCGTTGTTCGCACGGTACGGGAGGTCAGCGGCACCAGTTGGCCGATGCTTACTCGCACCAACTATGGAGAGTGGTCGGTGACCATGAAGGCCAAGCTCAGAGCCCGACGGCTCTGGAATGCTGTTGACAAGGGCACTGACAATGAAGAAGATGACATGTCAGCGTTGGAGGCTATCCTCGCTGCTGGACCAGCAGAGTACAGGGAGCCGTTGGGGGCGAAGAGCTCGGCTAAGGAGGCATGAGAGGCTATTGCGGTGATGCGCGTCGGTTCCAACAGCGCAAAGAAGGCGACATCTCAGCTTCTGAAGCAGGAGTACGCCAACCTCAAGTTCAAGAATGGTGAAATGGTGGAGGACTACTCCCTCCGCCTGCAGACGCTCATCAGCAAGCTGAAGAGCCACGGCGTCACCATCGACGAAGAAGAGACGGTCTCCAAGTAACTCCACTCCGTGCCGGCAAAGTACATCTAGGTCGCTCTCTCCATACAGACGATGCTGGACTTGTCCACCCTCACCATTGAGGATGTGACAGGCCGTCTGTAGGTGGTGGACGAGCGCCTGGAGCAGGCAACAGCAACAAAGGATAGCGGGAAACTCCTGCTGACGGAAGAGGAGTGGGCTGCTCGGAGGAACTCCAGGAAGGTAGCCTCCTCCAGCCGCGGTGGCGATGGCAAGCGCCGTGGCAAGGCTTCTTCGGAGAAGAAGAAATAGGTCGACCCCAACGCCTATCGGCGCTGTGGGAAGATGGGACATTGGGCACGGGAGTGCCCAAATCGTAAGCAGAAGAAGAAGGCTAAAGCTCATCTGGCGTAAGCTGATGATGAGGATGAGGCCACTATCCTGATGACGACATTCTGTGCACTGCACAACGTCGAGGCTGAGGAGAGGGAAGAGGCGACGACGGTGGAAGGACCTGGGAAGGCCCTGAAGACCATCAACCTCGACCAACCACGCACCCAAGTCCACCTCGGACGTGTGGGTGCCGATCAGGAGCAGTAGTGGTATCTGGACTCTGGTGCCAATAACCAAATGATGGGCTCCAAGGCATCCTTCTCCGAGCTCGACGACGATGTTACCGGTATGGTAAAGTTTGGTGACGGCTCAAGGGTGGCTATCCAAGGGCGTGGCACCATCATCTTCAGGTGCCAGAATGGGGAGCACCATGCGCTAACGGATGTATACTACATCCCGCAGCTGTGTTCCAGCATCATCAACATTGGTCAGCTGGATGAGCGCGGTAGCAAGGTACTGATCAAGGACGGAGTCCTTAGGATCAGGGACCGGGAGCAGTGACTTCTCGCCAAGGTGAAGAGGTCCCTAAACTGGTTGTTCCTGCTCGACCTAAAGGTACAGCAGCCGGTGTGCCTGGCGGCAAGGCACTCTAAGGAACCGTGGATATGGCATGCCCGGTTCGGACATCTCAGCTTCGACGCGCTTGGTCAGCTGGAAAAGATGATCCGAGGGCTACCCCACATCAAGCACGGAGGCGAGCTGTGTGACAGTTGCCTGGCCAGGAAGCAGAGGAGGCTACCATTCCCAAAGGGGGCCAAGTTTCGCACGAAGGACGCTCTCGAGCTCGTCCACGGCGACCTCTACGGGCCGATCACGCCTGCTACAAATGGTGGTCGACGGTACTTCCTCCTGCTCGTTGATGATTGCAGTCGCTACATGTGGCTACAACTCCTGACGAGCAAGGATGAAGCTGCAGCGGCGATCAAGGAGTTCAAGATGCGTGCGGAGGCCGAGAGCGGCAAGAAGCTCTGCGTGCTGAGGACTGATCACGGCGGCGAATTCATTTTGGTGGAGTTCGCTGCGTACTGCGCGGATCAGGGTCTGGGCAACACCACACCGTGCCGTACTCGCCACAACAGAATGGCGTGGTAGAGCGATGGAACCAGACGGTGGTCGGCATGGCCCGATCCATGATGAAGGCCAAAGGCATCCCGGCAAGGTTCTGGGGGGAGACGGTGACCACGGCGGTGTTCATCCTCAACCGCGCTCCGACCAAGGTCCTGATGGGCAAGACGCCGTTCGAAGCTTGGTATGGACGCAAGCCGAGCGTGTCCTTCCTCCGGACATTCGACTGTATCGGCCACGTCATGAAGATGAAGCCGAACCTCACCAAGCTAGAGGACAGGAGCACACCGATGGTGTTCCTGGGCTACGCGGAGGGTACCAAGGTGTACCGGCTCTATGACCCACGTGGAGACAAGGTGCTTGTCTCGCACGACGTCATGTTCGACGAGGAGGCAGCTTGGGACTAGAGCAGTCCGAGCACGGGGGAAGCTGGTAGCTTCACCAGCACCTTCATCATCGAGCACTTGGTCATCCACAGTGGTGGAGACGCTGGGGAAGAGGTGCCAAGCACTCCAGGAGGAGCGCCAAGCCCTCCAGCGGTAGAACCGATCACTCCTGGGGCAGTGGCGAGCACTCCGGGAGGAGTGCTGAACACTCCTGGAGGGATGCCGAGCACGCCAGGAGTGGTGCTGGAAGGTTTTGTAGAGGTGGCGACCACTCCAGGACGGGTGCCGAGCACTCCCGTGGAGAAGCCAAGACGTCTTGCAGTGGTGCCGACCACTCTAAGACTGAGGCTAGGCACTCCTACAGTGTGGCCAAACACTGCAGGAGTTATGACGAGAAGTCCAGAAGAAGTGCCAAGCACTAAACCTAGGGTGCCGAGCACTTCAGGTACTGTACCGAGCACTCTAGCAGAATAGGGAAGTCCATCGACGCCGATCGAGTTCGCCTCACCTCCAAATGACATCACTGAGTTCGTGGATGCCTTCCACGAAGGAGAGGAGGTGCGGTTCCATAGGCTGGACGACATCATCGGCGGCATAGGACCCACAGGACTGGCTAGTCGGCTGCTCAATGATGTAGAGCTACTGCTCATCAGTGCAGAGGAACCACCCACGTTCGCGCTGGCCGAGCGGGATGGAAACTGGCGACGGATGATGCTGGAGGAGATGAAGGCGATCGAGGAAAACGAGACTTGGCAGCTCGTCGATCCACCTCCAAGATGCCGTCCGATCAGCCTAAAGTGGGTGTACAAGGTCAAGCGGGACGAGCTCGGCACCATTATCAAGCACAAGGCGCGCCTCGTAGCCCGATGCTTTGTTCAGCGCGAGGGCATAGACTTTGAGGAGGACTTTGCGCCAGCAGCGCGCATGGAGTCGATCTGTTTGCTACTTGCTTTGGCAGCAGCAAAGGACTGGCGCGTCCATCACTTGGACGTTAAATCAACCTTCCTCAACGGTGAACTGGCGGAGACGGTCTTCGTCAGGCAACCTCTAGGTTTCGCCATCAAGGGAGAAGAGCATAGGGTGCTCCGACTGCGTAAGGCGCTCTACGGGCTGTGGCAGGCCCCCCGAGCATGGAACGCCAAGCTTGACGCCACGCTGGGCGAGCTTGGGTTTTAGCGGTGTGCAACCGAGCACGCGCTCTACACGTGGCGATGAGGGAAGGAGGAGCTCGTCGTCGGCGTGTATGTGGATGACTTAATCGTCACCAGCACGCGCACGGAGGACATCAATAGTTTCAAGCGCGAGATGGTGGCTTGTTTTCAAATGAGCGATCTCGGCGCACTCTGCTACTACCTCGCCATCGAGGTGAGACAGGGGAAGGAGGAACTCATGCTTGGTCAGAGCGCGTATGCCTCCAAGCTGTTGGAGCGGAGCGGCATGGCTGAGTGCAAGCCATGCGTGACTCCGATGGAGGAGCGGCTGAAGCTAACGAAGGCCAGCACCACGGCAAAGGTGGATGCAACACTCTACCGGAGCATCGTCCGTGGTCTGTGCTACCTAGTCCACATAAGGCCGGACATTGCGTTCGTCGTGGGCTACGTCAGTCGCTTCATGGAGGATCCCAGA